ACAACAATAGAAGAACACAGTCTGCTGAACATAATACTACACAAACATCAGATGTTGCCATGGTTTAATTGCACATAACATGTAAACATTTACAGTGCAGGGAGGAAAAAGTATGTGAACCTTTGGACTTAATAACTGGTTGACCCTCCTTTGGCAGCAATAACCTCAACCAAACATTTTCTGTAGTTGCAGATCAGACCTGCACAATGATCTGGAGTAATTTTGGACCATTCCTCTTCACAAAACTGTTTCAGTGTAGCAATATTCTTGGGATGCTCGGTATCGGCAGCAATGTCGATACAGGTATCGGTATGAGTGCAACCCTAGCCTAGGTTATGTGAGTGACCAAAATGGTGGAGTTTCTCCTTGTTACTTGTGCGTGAGTGCCCCATCCAATTCTTGTTGCAGGACATTAGGAGGTGCCCTTACCAGCATGGCCATTGTTGGCGGTGAATCAGGGCTGCTTTCACATACACTGTACTAGCCTACCATGAAGCTCTTCTCCATGAGCAATGTCTAAGTGACCTATCTCCAAGCCAGAATGTTGCCACGTGTAGGTTAGGAAGAAAAAGATTTTCTGTACTTAAGGGGTCTTTTTTTTTGGGGGGGGGGGGGGGTATTTAGGATCTTTTGATGTTCATGGCACTTTGGCTATTTCATTTTCTTTTTGGATTTTTTGCTTTGCATTTTCATTTTGGCTTTTTCAGTTTTTTTTTTCTTGTTGTGAAATACACAAAATAGAGAGGCTAGAAAGAGGGGTCAATTGTAGACACAAGAACAGATCCAGTGTAGTGGAGTTTAGCTTTCATAACCCTCAGAAGAACTTGAAACTCCACTGTGACCTTCCCAATTGACTCCAATACATTTTGCCAAAATCCTTTAGGTTTCACCAGAATTTTAAGGAAAGAAAATTTCTCAATAGAACTCATCCCTAGGTGTGATGTGTTACACCACGGAATTCACTATGCAATCCCAGCCTTGTTCTATAGTGATATTGGCAGTACAGGTTATTTTTTAGCTGCAGTCCATCATTCACTACTTCTGTCAGGTCCCTCTGAATAGAAGTAATTGTTCAACGGAAGGAGGCAGAAAGTATGTTTACAACTGTCTCCATTTTGGGTTTTCTGGGGGAGGAGAGGGGGGTTCCAAAACTTGAAAACCAATTTAAAATTAATTTGAGGTTAAAAAAATGGCATAAAGTTTAGAGAGGGAGCTCCAGCTTGACTCTGTATAGCTGAGATCCATACATTTTAGTCTGAAAACTGTAAGGCTGCATCTGAAATGTAACTTTCTGAATGGATCTCTGTCTGATTTATCTCATGACATACACACAGCTTGTCTGCATGTGTATCTAATCAAAGCTATTTCAATAAACAGTTCTTACTGAAATCGTGTTAAGTGATTGAATGTGCACAAAGCTTGCCTTGTACTGTCACACTTGGGCTTGTCATGTGGTATTACTGGACAAAGACCACAAGGGGTCGGAAAGGAACCCATTTGTATATAGGCCTTGTGTTGTGCTTTGTGGAATTCAACAGTGAACTATCAATCCCCAAAGTCCTACCGCCAAAAACATCAACAGATCATCTGCATTCGCAAGGATTATAGAAAAGCTAAAGACTGCATGGAGGTCCAAAAATTATTTTAGAAAATGAGAGAGGTCATAATAACCTTCCAGTGGCACTATATCACTCCTAATCTAGAAGATTTATGGCAGAGATAAATCACAGAGAACATACACTAGAGGAATAAGTTTGAGAGTAAAAAATAGTGTTTTTATTGCAAAATCAGTCTCTGGCTTAAGTATATAATAGAACTGTGGCCAGGCAATGGATAGTCGCTTAATTAGTTATTCATAACAAACAGCAAATATGCTTTAAAATAACCCCCCAGGGTCCTCTGTAGCTGCAGATGCTGTGGAGCAATTCATCCTCATTTCAGCAATTTAGCCCATTCCAGCAGTGACTTGTCTGGCAATCCAACAGTCTTTTAAAGTATAACTAAAGGCAAAACGTTTTTTTTAATTTTTGGACAGAGTAGAGATGGATAAGCATGCCTTTCAACTTTTTATTGCTATTTGTCCTGTTTACAAATATCATCAAAAGTGAAAGTTAAAAAAAACCTAAATTTTGGGTTGTCCCCAGAAAAGTAATAGAGGAGAAATTTTCAAATGGGAACAGTAGTTCTGGTGACCTGGGGGTCCCCAAGGAATTACCTCAATTTGTAGAGATTTACACTTACTTCCTATTTTCACTATGGGACAGGAAATGAAGGTACTGTAACTATCCCCAATGGGACATAACTATGCTGTCCTACTAATGGTTAGCTGACAGCTAGCTAACAAAACTGACAGAAGAGTTGTGTTTCATTCCAAAATTGAATTTACGTCTATGAATAGTTCTGTAAACTGAAATACAATCACATAAACTGAAGTTACAATATGCTTGTAAATATGTCTCTCACAAATGCATACAATGAACACATTTCTTGCAAACAGCTACTTACAAATCACATTAAATAAATTTAAAAGCGATCTGGATACATACGCAAATTAAACAACACAACAAATGAACTTACAAGCATATGTGTATCAAAAGGGAGAATGAAGGAGACCTTCACTGGTGTTCTTCAGGAAGCTAAAATGGGTGCAGTGGTAGAAGGGGAAGCCTTTATTAACAAGACACTCCCTAATACTTGTTGAAAAGAATAATAAAAACAGGTGCAGTATCAGTGAACACCCAATAGATGAATCCCTACTCAACACAATGATCATATACAGAACAGTAACCCTCACTTGCTCTATCTAAAATTAAAACAAAATCGCCTATAGTTCTACTTTAAACTCTGATGTAGCCGTAATAATAAATGTAACGTTTTTGACACCGAGTCACCATTGAAAGAACTTTATGGTCTTAGATAACTCTTGCTTTATTTACAAACCACAGTACATTAGCATTAAGGTCAAAGGGAAGAGTGCCCTCAAGGACCTCTGTAGCTGCAGATGCCTTGGAGCAATTCATCCTCATTTCAGCAACTTAACTCATTCCAGCATTAACTTGTCTAACAATCTGCCAGTCTTTTAATCTCTAATACCTCATCATTTGTAACACAGAGGAACCATTAAATAACTTTCTGGTTTTACAACATTGCTCTATCTACATCTCACTGTACATTAGCATTATAATCAGTGGTTAGAGTGTTTCTTACATTTGTGGTCAAGATTCCACTCCTTCCATTATCTAAAAGGATCTTTTATGCCAGAGGTCACTTATCTGAGAGGTAGAAATGTTTCACTGCTCACGGAATCCCTAGTAGTCTCTGGAGAAACCCTAGGGTTTTACAAAACCCTGGTTGGGTAAGCACAGGGCCTCTGTAAACAGAGGGGATTTACTTCTCGTGAAATTAATCAGTAATCTAAACAAAGTAATTGGGAGCAGAAGAACTACTGCAACCAGCATATACCATTAACCATAAATATATAGATGCCAGGGGCAGACTGACCATTTGGAAACTCGGGCACTGCCCGAGGGCCCGGGTTGAGTAGGGGGCCCCATGAGATGCCCCTGGTACCTTTTTTATAGGCTTTTTTGAGTTTGGGCAAGGACACAGGGGCCCCATGATCCCCTATTGCCCGAGGGCCCCATGAGTTGTCAGTCCGCCCCTGATAGACGCACCACTGTATAGTAATAACACAAGCTTTATATAAAAAGAGATTAATATTAAAGGCAATTTCTTTAAAAAACAAACAAACATGTCATACTTACCTGCTCTGTGCAGTGATTTTACACAGAGCAGCCCTGATCCTTCTCCTGGCTCTTCCTCCCTGCTGAGTGTCCCCAGAGCAAGCAGCTTGCTATGGGAGCACCCAAGCAGGCTCAGTCCCAAGCCGCTGCTCTGCACGTCTATTCACAAACAGAGCTGCAGCTTGGCCCAGCCCCCTCTCTCTTATTGGCCCACTGACTGTGATTGACAGTAGCGGGAGCCAATGGTTGTCTCAGCCAATAAGGAGGGAGTGCATTCCTAAATCGTCATGGGGCTCATTTAAGTATTAGGGGGTTGGGGGGAGGGGTAAACTGCTCACAGGTGGTTTTCACCTTTGTGCATAGAATGCACGAAGGTAAAACATCTTGAGCCTTTACAACCACTTTAATAACAGTATATGCATCAAATGTAAAAACAGGTGTTATCAGCAAAGAACCTTAAGTCCTGGTGGAATTGTACACATATACCCAGGTATATATAATTATTAATAGAGATACACTATGTTGGCAAAAGTATTGGGACACCTGCCTTTCAACACACATGAATTTTAATGGCATCCCAGTCTTAGTCCGTAGGGTTCAATATTGAGTTGGCCCAATCTCTGCAGCTATAACAGCTTCAACTCTTCTGGGAAGGCTGTCCACAAGGTTTAGGAGGGTGTCTATGGGAAGGTTTGACCATTCTTCCAGAAGTGTATTTGTGAGGTCAGGCACTGATGTCAGACGAGAAGGCCTGGCTCACATTGTCCGCTCTAATTTATCCCAAAGGTGTTCTATTGAGTTGAGGTCAGGACTCTGTGCAGGCCAGTCAAGTTCCTCCACCTCAAACTTGCTCATCTGTGTCTTTATGGGCCTTGCTTTGTGCACTGGTGCGCAGTCATGTTGGAACAGGAAGGGGCCATCGAACTTGGGAGCATGAAATTGTCCAAAATGTCTCGGTATGCTGACACCTTAGGAGTTCCCTTCACTGGAACTAAGGGGCCAAGCCCAACCTCTGAAAAACAACCCCACACCATAATCCCCCCTCCACCAAACTTTACACTTGGCACAATGCAGTCAGGCAAGTATCGTTCTCCTTGCAACCACCAAACCCAGACACATCCATCAGATTGCCAGACCGAGAACCATGATTCTTCACTCCAGAGAACATGTCTCTACTGCTCTAGAGTCCAGTGGTGGCGTGCTTTACACCACTGCATCTGACACTTTGCATTGCACTTGGTGATGTAAGACTTGGATACAGCTGCTCAGCTGTCGAAACCCATTCCATGAAGATCTCGACACACTGTTGTTGTGCTAATCTGAAGGCCACATGAAGTTTGGAGGTCTTTAGCTATTGACTGACCCCGCTCTGTCATTTTACGTTGCCTACCACTTGGTGGCTGAGTTGCTGTTGTTCCCAGTTGCTCCCACTTTGTTATAATACCACTAACAGTTATCCGTGGAATATTTAGTAGCAAGGAAATTTCACACATGGACTTATTACACAGGTGGCAACCTATCACGGTACCACACTTGAATTCACTGAGCTCCTGGGAGTGACCCATTCTTTCACAAATGTTTGTAGCAGCAGTCTGCATGCCTAGGTACTTGATTTTTATACACCTGTGGCCATGGAGGTGATTAAAACAAATGAATCCAATTATTTGGAGGGGTATCCCAGTACTTTTGGCAGTATAGTGTACCTCCAGATAAATGTTACAGCAAAGTCCAATTGTAGGAGCCCCTAAGGATGATGCAGTATCTGTCTATGTGGAAACTTGAAGACAAGTTCTGTGGTCATGGTGAAATCCTCCAACTGTTGTCCAACAAGCTTTGAATGGAGCCTCTCACCAGTAGGAACTGTGGTGTGGCACTGGAATTTAGAGTCAGCTTATCTACTCTGCATTCCTTAATAGTTTCTAATCTGACATGCAACGGGACCTCTAAGCTATTGATACTGACATGGCCACTGGAAGCTTAACTTGGCTATATCCTATGAGGTTTATGTAGTCCAAAGCTAAGACTAGCTATAGAATCATTGACCAGAAGAGACAGGATTAACTAGAATAAGAGAAGCTGCATATAAACTTTATTGCAATAAACAGGTTCACCTACCAATATACTGTAAGTTGACCACTACATTAGCTATCTGACAGTGTGCATGCGAAATAATAACAAAGACAGGGCAGAGATTCTCTGTCACAAGGATTTAGGTATACACTCAGCAGCTGCAGTTAAATTATTAGATCACAGGAATACTTGCATAATAGTCCCTTCTGGCTTGGAATTTAGCAGCATGGACAGGATATGTGGCTAAGCATTTCTCTCTCTTCACTTCCTTCTTCTGGGGCTTAAAAACCAAAAAACCCAGGAACAGGAAGTACATTCATATTATATTTACAAGCATTTAGAAATTCAGACAGTAGTGGGCAGCAGATCCCTACACTTGCATGCGGGGATTAGAGTCATGTCTCCCTACACTATATGCATTAATCGAAACACACAGCTAGGTAGCCTAAGATGGCAAGGTACTCCCCTGCTCCTCTCTTCCTTTCCCCTCCTTTCCCTTCTCTTCCCCAAGCTAACAGACTGTCTGGAGACTTCATTGTCCACTGGCAACTTTTGTGAACGTTCTGGGAAGCTGCTCTGAAAGAGCAGGAGCCAGAAGTAGTGAAAAGTTATAAACCGCAAGAGCTGGGCTAGGAATTTTCACAAATATTTTACTGGGGAATGTTTATTTTAATGAGATCGATCTGTCACACTAAAAAATGCTAGGGGTTAAATACTACTTTATGGTTATTATATACTTAAATTAAATTAAAGATTAAAGATAAATAAAACATTTCAAAACCTTCTAATAGTGAACTGAAAATCCCCATCTTGGAAGAATTACACAGTATGTATGCATGCTTTATTTACTGTAAATGTCAGCACTCCTAAATCTTTTATCATCCAAATATTAGGATGTATTTACAGTTGTGACCAAAATTATTCAACCCCCACTGAAATTGAGTGTTTTGGCCAGTTTGACATTGCTTTTGATCATTCAGTCATCTTGCTTACATTTACATTAAAGAGGCACTTGTAGGTCAGACAAATATAACATAACAGTTATAATGAAATAACCACAAATGTCTTTTCTGTGCTCACAGCATTATCAGTTTTATTCAACCCCCAAGTGACATTCAATCTTAGTACTTAGTACAGCATCCTTTTACAGTTATAACAGCTTTTTAAACGTGAAGCATAGCTTGACACAAGTGTCTTGCAGCGATCTACGGGTATCTTCGCCCATTCTTCATGGGCAAAGGCCTCCAGTTCAGTCACATTCTTAGGCTTGCGCACTGCAACTGCTTTCTTTAAGTCCCACCAGAGGTTCTCAATCGGATTTAAGTCTGGTGACTGCGATGGCCACTCCAAAATGTTCCAGCCTTTCCTCTGCAACCATGCTCTAGTGGACTTGGAGGTATGCTTGGGATCATTGTCCTGTTGAAAGGTCCAACGTCTCCCAAGCCTCAGGTGTGTGACGGACTGCATCACGTTTCCATCCAATATCTCCTGGTACTGAAGAGAATTCATGGTACCTTGCACACGCTGAAGCTTCCCTGTACCTGCAGAAGCAAAACAGCCCCAAAGCATGATTGACCCTCCACCATGCTTCACAGTAGGCAAGGTGTTCTTTTCATCATAGGCCTTGTTCTTCCTCCTCCAAACATAGCGTTGATCCATGGGCCCAAACAGTTCTAATTTTGTTTCATCAGTCCACAGAACACTATCCCACAACTTTTGTGGTTTGTCCACATGGCTTTTGGCATACTGCAGTCGACTCTTCTTATTCTTTGGAGACAGCAAGGGGTACGCCTGGGAGTTCTGGCACGGAGGCCTTCATTACGCAGTGTGCGTCTTATTGTCTGGGCTGAAACTTCTGTACCCACATCTGACAAATCTTTTCTCAGTTCCTCAGCAGTCACACGGGGACTTCTCTCCACTCTACGCTTCAGGTAGCGCACAGCAGTCGAAGTCAGCATCTTCTTTCTGCCACGACCAGGTAGCGTTTCAACAGTGCCCTTTGCCTTGAATTTGCGAATGATGCTTCCTAAGGTGTCTCTTGGTATGTTTAACATCTTTGCAATCTTCTTATAGCCATTGCCCTTCCTGTGAAGAGAAATCACCTCTTCTCTTGTCTTCCTGGACCATTCTCTTGCCTTCACCATGTTTGTAACCACACCAGTAAATGTCTAGAAGGAGCTGAGTATCACAGTCATTTTAAAGCTGCCTAATTGGTGCTTATTATGCTTGATTGCTGCTCGGTGACATCCACAGGTGTTTTCAATACCTGATGGAAAGCACCTGTATGAACCTCTGTTCTTCAGAGTGGTAGTCTTTAAGGGGTTGAATAATTGTGGCAATGAAGAAACCACATAAGAACCATTTACTACTGTATTACATAAACAATTGATGTCATTTTAGTTGCATTTGGGTAGTTACAACGTCCTTGTAGGATTTGATTCTGAATACAATTCCAAATGTACACTATAGTCCCTAAACCCCTTTACAGCATTGGGGGTTGAATAATTTTGGTCACAACTGTACATGAAACATGAGCAATTGCTGGCTTCATCTGGTTATTTTACAGGAATGTGTTTGGAAAATCAGAAACAAATATTGTATTTCATTTCTTTTAGATATGAAAGCATCTTTTCTTCTTACATAATAATGTAATATGTGTTCCAAACTAATAGGGCACATACGTTCACTGCTAAAGTACAGGACTAAAAGAAAGCAATGACATTTCATAAACAACATCACAAGATCTGTATGACAAACGGAATGAGGTTTCCTTCTGCACTCAATATTTTAATGGATAACTTAGTTACTGTAGTTTGTTTTTCTTTTGCCTATTCCCTACTTACTTAGTTAAAGCATTAGTAAAGGCCGTTGCATAAAAAAAGAAAATCTCCCTGCAAGTTAAAGTGCTTCCTTACGTGGAAAAAAAAATAAAACGCCAGCAGCTACAAATCCTGTAGCTGCTGACTTTTAATAAAGTACACCCACCCAGGGGTGGACTGACAACTCATGGGGCCCTCAGGCAATAGGGGATCATGGGGCCCCTGTGTCCTTGCCCAAACTCAAAAAAGCCTATGAAAAAGGTACCAGGAGCATCTCATGGGGCCCCCTACTGACCCTGGGCCCTCGGGCAGTGCCCAAATTTCCAAATGGTCAGTCCGCCCCTGCACCCACCTGTCTGGGGATCCAGTGCCATCCTCATCTGTGCTAGTTCTTCAGTAGCCTTTGGGTTCCTGGCACTGGCATTCTAACTGTGGGTATCACAGCTGGCTGCCCACTGCTCATGCGCAAACCGTGCTGCACTTTGTGAATAGTCCCTCAGTCTTCTGGCACTTGTGACATGTCCCAGAAGACTGCATGGAGGGAGATGGGGATGAGAGCTTCCATTAGGATTGATTAAGTGATCCGAATGGAAGTGGGAGTGGGTATCTGTCAATAGTAGGTACTCACTCCTCCCCCCAAAAAAATGATATGCCAATTTTGATAGAGGAGGGGGGAGGAGGACTTAAAGTAGAACTTTCCCTTATGGGTCAAAGCCCTATAGTGGCACACTGTCACCACTGTCAGGGCTTTCATCTTTACCTGTTGTTCCTTTTAGGGTCAAAAGCTGTGGATGTTTGAAAGGCTGAGCTGAAATGATGTCATTCCACATCAGGATTTTGGGGACTGGGTTCAAACCCAGCACCTCTGCTGTGTCACGCAGTGTCTCTTCTTGTTGAGCCATCTGGAATGCTGGGCAGTTCCCTGAACAAATCCTTGGATGATCCTGTCTTGAACCTTGTTTTGTCTTGAACCTTGAACTCTTTGATCCTCCTATGCACTTCCTGATTTAAGCCATGCCTCTGCACTTCCTGTTGCCAGATTATTGTGCTTCTCTCAATATTTCTACCTGCAGCTTTCAGCTACCACTATTACTACTTGGAATCGACCTTGGCTTGTGACCCACAACTACGAAACTTTTCTCCTGAATTGACCTTGGCTTGTGACACAGACTATGATACTCTTCTCCTGCATTGACCTTGGCTTGTGACCCCAACTACGAAACTTTTCTCCTGCATTGACCTTGGCTTGTGACCCCAACTACGAAACTTTTCTCCTGCATTGACCTTGGCTTGTGACCCCAACTACGAAACTTTTCTCCTGCATTGACCTTGGCTTGTGAAACAGACTATGATACTCTTCTCTTGCATTGACCTTGGCTTGTGACCCCAACTATGAAACTTTTCTCCTGAATTGACCTTGGCTTGTGACTCCAACTACGAAACTTTTCTCCTGCATTGACCTTGGCTTGTGTGACACAGACTATGATACTCTTCTCTTGCATTGACCTTGGCTTGTGACACAGACTACGAAACTCTTCTCTTGCATTGACCTTGGTTTGTGACACAGACTACGAAACTCTTCTGCATTGAACTTGGCTTGTGACACAGACTACGATACTCTTCTCCTGCATTGACCTTGGCTTGTGACCCCAACTACGAAACTCTTCTCCTGCATTGACCTTGGCTTGTGACACAGACTACGAAACTCT